TGTACGCATTATAAGGCTTTGGATGCGTCCTAACCTTCTTCCTTCTGGAGGTTGAGGGGGCTTCTAAGCATCCATATTGATCGCAAAATCTTCCAAGCTCTTTTTTGTTTGATATTGAAGAATTGAGCTTGTTTTGGATCTTTGACTCATTACAAAGTCAGCGTCCTTCTATGATGAAGGATGCTATTGATCCATATGACAAAGTCTGTCATGGAATTGTTCCATTATACTTTGTCTTCAAATCGTCTTTGATCCTTCTTGAGAAGTGCTTTGGTAGTCCATTGACAAAATTCTCTTTCCAGAATTCCAACGAACTATCTGTTCTAATAAGAACTTTGTTGAAATACATGTCTTTGTACCACCTAAAATCTTCTAGAGTAGGGCATTTCAGGTTCATGAGTATTTCAGCGGATCTCTCCTGGTATTTTAAGGGGTCGCCAACGAAGAATTCTATGAGGGCATAGATTAGAGTATTGACAGCATCTTCTACCCTTCCATGTTGTACTTCGATCCTAGTTGATGGACCTTCTTCTTTGATGATTTGAATTGTTGGCCTGATGACATAGTGGTTTAATATCTGTTGGCGGGTTGATTCGTCAAGATATTTGTCCCACCAGTCTTTGAGTTTTCTGGTGAATCCGGTTACTAAGACTTGAGCTATTTGATGGTCGGATTTATGGCCTTGTAATTTATACGCGCCTGCGGCCATCATCATTTGATTGACAACGTTCATCACAAGATAGTTAGACAATCCATCGATGTACCATTCATAGATTGCCAGGCCATCATAGTGGGCTTGAGTTTGTAGCGTCTTTTCTTCGAATTGAATATCTGGAAAAGACGGTTGAGGATACCAGTTTTTCTGATTGCTGGTATTATTTTGACTTCTTCTTGAGATCCTTTTGATCCGATTGTAAAGAGGTTCCTCTGCCTCATTTGTGATCTCATCTTCGAAGTCCTGGATCTCGTCGTCATTGTTAACGACATTGACAAATGAATCCTGATGTATTATTCTAGGATTTAGAATTCTATCCAACTTTTCTTCTATATTGGCTATTGCAACTTCTTCTTTCGAGACCCTCTTGGAATACGTCGAGGTTTGCCTGTCTGAGTATTGGGATTGACTCATCGACCTTTGGTACAGAGCTGCGTGCTTGTTCTTGCAGAGTACCCGAATTCTTCGAGATTTTTCCCTCGATACTCTCAAGCTGGGTGGAGATCATGGATAAAATCTTGTTTGAATAATTATTCTGGTGCTGGATATTCTTAATATCCTTTAAGGTCGGATTAACCTTTTCTAGTTCTTTTGGGATAGTTTTGAAAGGACTAGCTTTGACCTTTTCTCCGTAGTAATTGTCAAATTCGACTTCTTCAAATGGAGGATGTTTTGAATATGTTGTGCGCCGAAAGCGGAACAAAGGTACTCACAACACCAATGAACACCAATGAACGATTTTACACAAAGAGGCACTAAGATATTTACGTGGTTCGGAGAGAAGTTCCCCTACATCCACGAACCAATCACTAATAAACCAAAGCATTACAAGTGAATATCTCACTATCACACTACAAAGACTCAGAACACATGTCACTCAACAAATACAATGTGACTCCGAAAGCTCTCCCAAATTTCGATACCAAATTCTGATATCAAATCCCAATATATAACTAAACCCTGGTGTGACTAAATCTAATTCAAATAACCAAATCAAATCTAATCCAAAAACCAAATCAAATCTAAACTTATGACAATTTACAACAATCTCCACCTTGTCATAAGATCTCCAAATCAAATCAAACTTAATGACAATTTACAACAATCTCCACCTTGTCATAAGATCTCCAAGTTGATAACTGAGTTGGTTGCTACCACCTCAAGCCTCAATACGTAAGTTGGGAACTCCATCAATTATAGAGAAAGCATATGCTATCGTATCATCAAACCTTGCAGGTTTTCGAATTACCCTTCGTGGTCTATTCTTGGCGATAGACTCAGGTTCCTCCACTCTTTCATTTACAAGGCTTTGCTCCTCCAGACTTTGCTCTTTCTGTTCTAAGACATCAAAGTTATTATTTACCTGGTCAATAGGTTCTTCAGTAGGAGCAACCACATCAGGAGAGAACACCACCTTCTCCACCTGCTTCAATACCTCGTCATTATTTTCAATTTTCTGCAAAAACATTCCAAACTCATCGAATGTCACATCTCGACTATTAACAATCTTACTTGTTTCTGGACACCATAACCTATAGCCCTTCACACCTTTGCTAAAGCCCATAAACTTGGCTTTTTTTGCTCTAGGATCCAGCTTTGAGTCTGTCACATGATAATAAGCAGGACACCCAAACACATGTAATTTATCATAATCACTAACAGGACTACCTGACCATACCTCAAGCGGAGTTCTCCCACCGTTTCCAGAAACAGGTAAACGATTCACCAAGTGAACTGCATAACTGAGAGCCTCAGCCCAAAATGCCTTACTCAATCCTGCTTGAGACAATATGCATCGAACCTTCTCTATTAATGTCTGGTTCATTCTCTCAGCAACTCCATTTTGTTGTGGCTTACCAGGAACAGTGAAGTGTCGAACGATCCCTTCATCTCGACATACTTTAAGGAATGGATCATAAGTATATTCTCCCCCGTTGTCTGATCTCAGCCTTTTGATTTTCTTGTCCGTCTGATTCTCAACCATTTTCTTCCACTCTAGGAAGATTTGGAGAACCTCGTTTTTGTGCCTCATGGGATGCATCCAAACTCTCTTCGAGTAGTCATCAATAAAGGTGACGAACCACCTCTTTCCTCCCAATGAGACATTCTTTGTGGGACCCCATACATCAGTGTGAACATAATCCAAAATGCCCTTTATTTGGTGTATAGTTGTACCAAACTTCACATTTTTTTGTTTGTCAAATATACAATGTTCACAGAAATCAATTCTTCCAGTTGTGGCACCCTTAAGAACTCCTTGGTTCACCAGTGTCTGAAGCGCCTTCTCACCAGCATGCCCGAGTCGCATGTGCCATAATTTCGATATGTCTTGTTCTTTCGAACTTGCCACAGCAGCATGCCCAATTATTGTGGTTCCGTTGAGGTAGTATATGCTACCTCTTCTAGTTCCTGTAATTGCCACCAAAGCTCCACGAGCTACTTTCAAATTCCCTCCTTCCAAAATGATGCGATAACCACTCGCATCCAAAACGCCAAGTGAAATCAAATTTTTCTTCAAGTCAGGGACATACCTCACATCTTTGAGTTTTCGTATAACCCCGTCAAACATCTTGATTTGTACTGAGCCGATTCCCATTATCTTACAAGTACTATCATTTCCCATATAGACAACTCCACCATTGAACTCCTTGAAGTCCAAAAACATCTCTTTGTTGGGACACATATGATAGGAGCACCCAGAATCAAGAATCCATTCACTGGTTTGGCTGACTGATAGGGAGATTGTCAAGGCATCCTCTGTATCAGTGTCGTCATCTCTAACCACATTGGACTTCGACCCCTTCTCTTTTAAGATCGAACAATCTTTTTTCCAATGGCCTTTCTGTCGACAATATGCACACTCATTTTTATCAAGTTTTCTCCAATGATCAGATCTCCCTCTCGACTTTAGTCGAGGCTCTCCACATTCGTTCTTTTTCCAATTGGAAGTTCTTCCATGAGCAGTGAGAACATTTGAGCTAGAGCTTTGATACGTCTCCTTTTCCTTCTTTCGCATCTCATTGTTTATTAAGGCATTTGAAACATCTTCAAAATCAATATTAGTGATTCCATGTAGTAGGGTCGTTACTACAAACTCGTAGGATTCCGGCAAGGAGTTTAATAACAACAACGCCTTGTCCTCGTCATCAATCTTAACATCAAGATTAAGCAAATCAGTGATGATTTTGTTAAAATCATCCAAATGCTCAGTCATTGAGATGCCTTCCTTGTAATCAAAACGGAAGAGTTTCTTCTTCAAATAGAGTTTATTTTCCACACTCTTCTTCATATATTTCGCTTCAAGCTTGTCCCATAATTCTTTCGCCATGGTAACCTTCATAAATGGATATTTCTGATCCTTGCCAAGACAGGATCGAATAATTCCACAGGCTTGCCGATTTAATTTCGTCCATTCTGCTTCTGTCATGTCTTCAGGCATTTCCTCTTGGAGAGAGACATCGAGGTCTTGCATGACCAATAAATCGCTAACTTCGCCTCGCCAAACACCAAAATTATTGGTTCCATCAAATTTTTCTACTTCGAGATTGGAAATCCACACTCTTGATCCACGTCGTGATGGTTCTGCCATTCGCAATAATTAATCTGAATGAAACTCAAAAACCCAATTCTTGAAAATTGATTTTCAAGAGAATAAACACGATTGTGAGCACGTCTAATGGTCGATGAGGCCCAAGCTTTCACAATACCCCAAAATACCACAACTTGGCTCTGATACTACTTGTTGTGCGCCGAAAGCGGAACAAAGGTACTCACAACACCAATGAACACCAATGAACGATTTTACACAAAGAGGCACTAAGATATTTACGTGGTTCGGAGAGAAGTTCCCCTACATCCACGAACCAATCACTAATAAACCAAAGCATTACAAGTGAATATCTCACTATCACACTACAAAGACTCAGAACACATGTCACTCAACAAATACAATGTGACTCCGAAAGCTCTCCCAAATTCCGATACCAAATTCTGATATCAAATCCCAATATATAACTAAACCCTGGTGTGACTAAATCTAATTCAAATAACCAAATCAAATCTAATTCAAATAACCAAATGAAATCTAATCCAAAAACCAAATCAAATCAAAACTTATGACAATTTACAACAGAATATACCTGCCTCTTCTGATAGTCTTCCAGCCTCTTTGAGTCAAGGTGCATATTTGCAAAATATTTTCTTCAAACCATTCGAAGAACGGTATGTTTTCCTCTACGGTTTCCATATGAGAATACCACTGAGCTCTTATTTGACTTCGCTCAGCTTCTTTGTAAGTTTGGAAGAAAGCTTTTCTCTTTGAAGAGTTGGCAACTGACATAAAATCTGTTTTCAAGAATTCTTTGTCTATCTGGAAATTAGCTGTAATAACATTTAGCTGACTTTCATAGACGGATTGAGTATCCATATTTGTATGGGTTGGAGATCTTGAGCCATCTTCANTCATAGATTGCCAGGCCATCATAGTGGGCTTGAGTTTGTAGCGTCTTTTCTTCGAATTGAATATCTGAAAAAGACGGTTGAGGATACCAGTTTTTCTGATTGCTGGTATTATTTTGACTTCTTCTTGAGATCCTTTCGATTCGATTGTAGAGAGGTTCCTCTGCCTCATTTGTGATCTCATCTTCGAAGTCCTGGATCTCGTCGTCATTGTTAACGACATTGACAAATGAATCCTGATGTATTATTCTTTGATTTAGAATTCTATCCAACTTTTCTTCTATATTGGCTATTGCAACTTCTTCTTTCGAGACCCTCTTGGAATACGTCGAGGTTTGCCTGTCTGAGTATTGGGATTGACTCATCGACCTTTGGTACAGAGCTGCGTGCTTGTTCTTGCAGAGTACCCGAATTCTTCGAGATTTTTCCCTCGATACTCTCAAGCTGGGTGGAGATCGTGGATAAAATCTTGTTTGAATAATTATTCTGGTGCTGGATATTCTTAATATCCTTTAAGGTCGGATTAACCTTTTCTAGTTCTTTTGGGATAGTTTTGAAAGGACTAGCTTTGACCTTTTCTCCGTAGTAATTGTCAAATTCGACTTCTTCCAATGGAGGATGTTTTGAATATACCTGCCTCTTCTGATAGTCTTCCAGCCTCTTTGAGTCAAGGTGCATATTTGCAAAATATTTTCTTCAAACCATTCGAAGAACGGTATGTTTTCCTCTACGGTTTCCATATGAGAATACCACTGAGCTCTTATTTGACTTCGCTCAGCTTCTTTGTAAGTTTGGAAGAAAGCTTTTCTCTTTGAAGAGTTGGCAACTGACATAAAATCTGTTTTCAAGAATTCTTTGTCTATCTGGAAATTAGCTGTAATAACATTTAGCTGACTTTCATAGACGGATTGAGTATCCATATTTGTATGGGTTGGAGATCTTGAGCCATCTTCATAGTGAATTGATGCTCTTTTTTTATCATAACTGACTTCTTTTACCTTTAAGGGGTCATACATTGATCTTGAAACTCCCAACGTACTTGGTCTAGAACTCAAGAATTCTCTTACTTTTGATTCAGATGAAGGCTCTTCGTTGAATTTTATTTCAATGCTTCCATCGTCATGTTCGATGATTTGTACCGGGTTTTGAGATTCCTTTCTCTTCGGAAGATTAGCATCTTCTATTTTCCAGAGAGTATTTCTGGTTATCTGATCCCAAGAAATAGTTATTAGAACAGTTACCAGGACCTTCTAGATATTACATTCATGTGGTTAACGGGCTAAGCAAACTTGGGTTGCTTGTGCATTATCAGTCTAAGGACGATGACTTGGGGTATCATCGTTTGCTTAATCATGGAGATGATTATCAATGGAACTTCAAGGTTAACTTTTGGGGAACAACCCTCTATTGGTGCAAATGTGAGACGCCACATGCATATGTCTCTTTTGAAAGCTTTTGGCCTGAAACACAGCACTTATGGCTCCGTGATAGGTGCAAACATGGAACTGTAGGAACTTGTATTTGGACGGCTAAAGATGATGAAATTTACTTGA